CACCACGTCCCCAATATCTTCATTTTTCTTAAAATTATGTTTACCTTTTGTGTTTCTTCAATATAATTGTGGAAATTCATGAAAATTTTTTTATTGATGAGAAACTATTTCTCAAGTATTATAATTTTTCATTCCTAAAAAAAATTTTTAACTAAATGGTCATGGCAAGCAATTTAAGTTTATGTCATTTTTGAGTGAAATGTATTTTTTTTTTACTTTTTTTTCATACTTTGCACACTTGCTAGGTGTAAATATCTAGCTATAAATGTTTGAATGTATAAACGTATTTGTAAACAATTATAACAAGCATTTTTGTGTTTTTAGAATACTTTTACAATAATTTTAAGATATTAATCTAAATCATAATTTTATTATAATTAATTTATAATTGAATAATAATAATTTAATGCCTATGATGTTGTTTCAATTTTTGAATTTTGTTAGACAATTGTTAGTGGGCCTTACTGTTGTTGTTGAGCACAAAAACTGTATATCATCATACTCAACAGCTGCATAAGGCGTGTTTTTAAATCTTATGGAGGAATAAGAAATTGACTGGTTTGTGTTGGTAGCTTTTTCACTCATTGTGTTACTGCCAACATCACATAATTTAGTTTGCACTTGAACTGATTTGTAGACATCTATAGTTTGTGCACTTCGAGTTGCTACTTTTGACGTTTTATTGATAGTGTCAATTACTTTCTTATTCATACATTTTTTTATTTCATTTTTATTACAGATGTTTTTATTTATTGCACTTGTGTTGTGAGGATAAAATGCTGTTTGCACTTGTGCATCCTTATATTTGTCCTTTTCGCTCATTCTATACATGCATAAACTATAAATATAGCATTCAATGAAGTTACACAATGTACTACTTACAGTTCATTGGAATTGTGTTGCACTTCTGCCATTTGTTCATATAAGTGGAAAAATGATAATAAATGTGTTTTAGACTTCATTAAGTTTAAGAAGTGATTCAAATAGCTGTGGAAATGTTATGCCTGTATTAAATATGTAATTTATAATATATTAAATTATAATGAAATAAATATTGATTACAAATTCTATATAACTACCATTATGGTACTAAGAACTTCAAAAAATGTATAATAAAGTTCAACCAGGTTGTGTTAAGAATGGTTTTGGATAAATTTTAGAACAAATGTTTTTAACCTGTAATAATTGTTGCAACATTACTTACTATGTTGGTTTAGTACCAAAATGTAGTACTGCTTGAATATTCGCAAAGCCAAACCATTTATCCAAATATTGTATTGTACCAACATTTTTATCATGTTTTATTAATGTTCCTTCAGTTTCTACTATCATAACCACACAATATCCATCTGCCTAATTAAATAACTAATTGATTACTATATCATTTTGAATATAATACCTAACATTTACAAATAAGTCCCTTCTATCATCTGTGCTGATTGAAGGTGAATGCCATTCACACATTGGATGTAACGGATATGTTTCAATTATTTTATGCAGTTCTTCACTATCAGTTAGAGTTGTATCTATGATCGAAATATTATCAATATCCTCACTAATATTAATTATCTAAAAATAACATGTTAAGGTAATATATTTTTTTTAATCACTATAATAAAAAATACTTCATTTGTCCATTGTTTCATGGTCGATATCAAACTACATGTAATGGTCAGATGATTCATTATTCCTCTAATTTCACACCAAATAACTGTTACATTATTGAGTTTTGGCTAAAAAATAACAAATTTGATTTCAACTTAATTTGAATGGCACTTATTTATGTAAAAAAACTGAAATTTCATATCAATAATAAAAATGAAATATACTTGGAATCTAACACTTACAAAAATTGTATCATCTGAATCCTCACCAAAGATTTTGGTATTTTTCATTTTTTTTATTTCTTTCAATGTTATTTTGAAATTTATAAGTAATGCGGGCAATTCAATTTTTAATTTATTTAAATCTTTTTTGATTTTTCTAAAAATGTAATTATGTTAATATTTAATGTGGATAATATACTTGTGTTGACATACTCTAAATTTTTCTGGTACTGTAGATAAAATACCAATACAGTTTTATATTCGTTCAGTTTTTTTGTTGTAACAGTTGCAAAATTTATCCGTATAACAAATATTGGAGCTAAAATCTCAGTGTACAATTTATAACATTGAAGTATCCATGCAGTTGTCATCATCACTTTCTTAATACTATCTTTTATCTGTTGATCGATGTTTTGTAGAAGCAAGTCAACAGCATTGGGAAGTGTATCTATCACTAAAAAAGTAGGAGGTAATTATTAGTAGATAATAGATACAGAACATTAAAACCTATTATTTTATAGATTATGAGAGAAATCTAGGAATAAATTGTTTTAACAATTATGTGTTTTTCTTCAGAACATAAATTTGTTCTATTTCCGACGTGGATTCTGATATAAAATTTAGATCTAATTTATGGAAGGACAGATTAAGGGCTTTTCGCTTATTTATTTTAAGAGGACGCAACACACACACACACGTGTTGTCTCAGTCTTATAAGTGCATAACATGGTAAATTTTACGCTCAGCAGATCACGCTTACCTCCGTTAGTTTAAAACTTAAAGTGAATTTCCTTCTCATAAAAATTAAGGGTAACATTATTATCAAGGGCTACTCATAGGCTTTAAAATTAAAATATTATAAAAATCCTATGAGAACCCCTCAATTACAATTTTACCTTTAATTTTTATAAGATTTTTTTCTTATTATATTATATTAGATATCATTGAATTCAAATTTAAAATGTCCATTACAGGAGGACGCGCCTTCCTACATAATTCATATTATCTATACTCATTACGTTAACCGTTAACCGGTGTATGATGATAAATAATATGTGTTGGATWAGCACGATGAGTCGATGACGAGGTAGGTGCAATGTACACTCGAAAGTCGATACCTGGTACAGCGGAACAATTAACCAGAATTTTTCTTTATTGATTTACGTACTATCCAACGTTTCTTCTCTAACATCTTTACGATCCATATTGTATAGCCAAATGCCACATACCAAGTTTGATATTTCTTTCAATTGATTTAATTTTAAAGATGGTAATTGGTTTTCATATTCTGATGATCTTGTTCGATTCAAAACGTTATTTAATGCTTCTGAAAGACGAAAGGTATCCATAGGATTAATACAATTGTAAAATATGTACCTATGTAAAGATTGCAATATAATATTAATATTTTATAAGTTGTAATAGGTTTTTGGTACTGTGTACAGTCATATTATATCGGATAACATTGAACTGAGTCCCTCAAATATTTTTGGGTTATCGGAGATGAGTCCGACCAATATTTTTAGGTTGTTCGAGTTGAGTCCCTTCAGCCTATTAGCGTTACCCAGAAGACACCACGTGAAGATTGGCTAAATAGTTTCCCAAAAAATGTGTGTGATTGTATTTTTTTAATCATAATAATAATTATAAGTATAAAGAGTTAATTAATTAAAAAATATTAAAAATAATTATTATTATGTATAACTGTATATATGTTCATTATTTTTTTTTTAATCATATAGGTAATAAATAATAATAAGAAGGTATAAAGAGTCAATTAAAAATMATAATTATGTGTAATATAATAATGTTAATAATTAAATAGTTGTTTGTAAGAATTTAAATGATATTACAGATTTTAAAAAGTCAAATCTGCCAATTTACCAACTTGAGATATCTACTTTTCTCAGAATCAGACTTGTATTTTTTAGACAGACCTAACTTCTGAATTGTACGCCTCCAACTTTGACCCAAATAGAATCGACCACCTTTTAATTTAACATCGGTCCAGACTTGTTTAATTGAATTGTGGATTCCATTTTCAAAATCTACATAAATTTCTGAAGGGCTAAATGGTAAGCTTATAGCCTTGTACAATAGTTAATAATATGTTGAAATGCTTTTACATAAATATTCGACTCTTTCGTGGGCACCAAAAAAAAAAAACAAGAGGAACAAATGAATCTTTATAGTAATTAGTAACCATGAATATGAATCGTAAAAAATTGGGTAAAGTATTTAGGACAGCTCTTAAACGTCCTGTCAATATATATATATATATTTTACACCACACGAAATATACATATTAATTTTTGTTGAAAATCCTACAATCGAATTTTCGAAATCATTCAAAACATAAAGTTCTCGTCATTATTTGTTAAATATTCATTGATTTTAATGCATTTTAAGTCTCATGAGTACTTTTAGGTAATTTTGGATGAAGCTGCGAAAGAGCATGATGAATGTTTTGTTTGATTAAAATTTAAAATAACGTCGTTTGTCGTGAGAGTTGAAATGTCACAATTTTTAAACTCATTATGTAAATCTTCGATGGCCGGACAGCTTTCCTTTTAACAGCGTTACTGATTTTCTGTCCTGCAGTAAGTACATTTTCGTCACACTGATAATGTCTATGTTCATTGAAGATTTTTGACGTAACATTATCAGAGGTTAATTTTAAAATAAAACTTACACGAGTTTTTACATGTCTACCGTTGAACCTCGCCTTGCAACATTTTRTGGAATTGAAACTTAAAACCTTTAATAATTTTTATTGTTTTTTGCACTCCATTTTTCASTYGTAATAAYTTGAAAATTATTGTAAAAGTATTGACTAATTTTGTGTTGMCGAAGTATTAGGCAYGACTGAYTGATTTTGAACGAGTACCTTTATACCACCGGGCTGTTGATGAATATCCGGTATAATATGATGCGCAAGGTTCAAGGTCACCGGCTTAACAAATAGTTATGACATTTTATCTATACGGACTCAATTCAAAAATATTAAGATGATACCCTGGACTCAATTCAAACACATCATAAAAGTAGCATGGACTCAATTCAATATCGTCGATATGTATCTACACCATTGTGATCTATGAYCATTACCCCATCATAGACGTGTGCACACTTTTTTAGCTGGATGGACCAAACCAATTAAGATTTAGACGCTTCAAATACTTAAATGGATACTTTAAAGTATTTTATCAAATACATTTTTTAATATATTTAATTAATTATTATCATTTAAAAATTGTAATTAGGTAGTAATTATAATATCTATTAAAAATTTCATTGTTCCCAATGGCCGATGTCGCCGAGGGCTTATTCTTAATAAAAAAAAAAATAAAAATAACTAATAAAGTTTCATAATAAACATTTATCAGGTCGCAATATGTATTACGAGTACGGTATGACTCGCAGGGTGGACCATGACACACCTGGCGGCTGTCATATAGTATGCGGTCTACCGGTGAATTTACGAGTATAGTATGCGGTCTACCGGCGATTTACAAGTATAGTATGCGGTCTACCGCGAATAAATAAATTAAAAATATCATAATATTATAGTATAATTATTGTAGTAGTAATGTCTAGTAAAAAATTTGTGGTTGATTCGTCACTACTAATTATTGAATAAAAATCTTTTGCCAACATATTGGGTGTATAAAATATAATATGGTGTCGCGCAATAAATGACATACTGAGCTATTGAGCCAATACTTTTACAAAATATTGAAGTATTGTTATCTGTGTATAATGTAATTAAGATAAAGTATACCTATACCTATCTAAAAGATAGAAAAAGATTAAAGTGTATCTATTAGAAATAAAACCGGTAAAAACCGCAGGTAGACCGCATCCTACAGCGGCTGGTAGAACGCATTTGCCGGTAGACCGCATACTATATGACAGCCCACCTAGCCCATCCCATGTGCACGCCTATGAATTACCCTCTGGACCAGATGATAYACTTACTATTTACTAACCAGAAATTTCTTGAATGAGTATTGGTGAAGTCGGATCTCCCATATAGTTGGATAAAATGATATACTGTATTATTTTCTGATAGTGCGTGCTCGTTGTGTGGACCGTCTGGTCCACGTTATCTAAAATGTCATTCAATAATGGTCTCATTTTTTKATCATTTTCTTCATTAAYTTTATTTATGATAAATTCTGTGAATGTAATATTKTCAAAAGTATAGATATATGCAATGGTATAKGCAGTTAATTAGCTTATTGTATGTATACCTCTGTTTTTATAGTCGTGCTCAATGAGCAATTGCATTTTAATGCATAATAAAGTTGGGTCCTTGGGAACAGATAATCGCTGAATACATTGGTCTACAATTCTGTCCATTGTATTATTTAATGACTTTTTTTGTGAGTTCCTCGCGTTGGGATTTAACAACMAGCATTTAAACTACATTGTAATTATTAGAAACAATATAAAAGTGTAATATATAGGCACACATTTTATTTCTTTACATTTTGAAACTTATAAACTTAAATAGGTAGGTGTACCTACTTAGTTTTAGGCAATAATGATATGGATTACCTACCTAATTTGTACCGATCGTTTACGAAAATTAATTTATATTTTATTACCATTCATTCACCATTTCACCAATTATATAGTTTTTATATAGTTTTTTAGACGATGATTGCCGAAATAAATATTTGTTATTGGATAACTAGTTGGAAATTAATTCTAAAAAACTATTTAAAAAATTTTAAGACGAAAATGATATAATAAAAAACGTAAATAGCCCGAAATTCAAAATGACACCGGTGCATCTTTCGTATAGTTAGATAATTTGTACACCTATACGGCTATACATAATATTTATCAGATCTTCGTCGCTATACACAACCGTTTTTATTGCTTACTAACGAATATAAATAAAATTACACTTATTGTATATACATTTGATTAAATCTACGAATCTTAAATTTGATTATTCWGGTCGATGCATGTAATAGTTGATCACAGCGAACACTTACAAATACTGATGCTAATTCTTCGGAGACTTGCACTCCCAGTTCGAAACATCCTTGGATMACTTTCCGAATATATTTTTCTTCGGGCAACATAATGTTCACTAAATTATGTTAATGGTGTTGCCGAACAACGCGCCGCACACACCAAAATACAACCAGGTGATGGAAATTTTAAATGTTATATTATTATTTCCATAGCAACACGAATGCTTCAAAGAACATAAACAAAAAACAAAAAGAMATAACCAATATACTCAACACAAATCAATAGAAAATGACATAGTTCTTTTTGGTTATTGTTAAGAACAAAGTATAGGTAAGTACTTGAAGTACTTCATATTCATTTTTTTCCAAAGTAAATTAAAAAATAATATGACGGAAACCGTAGACCAAGCACTGTGGTGATTGGACCAGTACCTATCGAAAAATGGTGAGTTATTATTTTTRATTGAAAAATAATAAAAACTAAAGTATTCAGTATTTTAAATACTATTTTTTATATATATATATTAATATTAGTATAAACAGACAAACAGTAAGCTATATTATATGTATTTAAATATCTTATATGATATATATATACGTATATATATATATGTATATATATAAACACTACTTATACTATTTATTGCTAATACATGGTGGCACTGAGAATAAATTATTTAAAAATAATGCTCATTGAACACCGACGTAAAAAAAATACACAGATCGGTTAGGTTAAACTTCAAAATCACCGAAAAGATCCCCTCACGTTTTAAATATAAAATAGGTGTATTATTTTTTAAGATATTTATTTAAAATAATGTGTCATTATTAATCATAATGCTAAATTTTACATTATTCACAAGTATCTACGTTAATACATTATATTGTTTAATGCAGTGGCGGCCTGGGTTCATTTTTTTTAGTCGGCTAGAATTTAAAAAGGCCCCTGACCAATAAGACTAATGGCAAATGTGCAAATGCAAATGGCTATGGGCCTTTTTACAGTTTTACATTTTTAAAGATACCTAATCATTTTGAAGTTCTACTACCCCCCCCCCTCTTCCAAAAAAATGTATAATATGTTACTATTTTTGTAAGTACCTTATTTAGGTTTCAATTAACTTTACCCCTTTGGCTTTGGCATTATAAAAACAAATAACAAAATATCTATAATGTTACCTATTCAACATTGCTGTTGATGCATATACTATAATATTAATATTATATTATAGTATTTATTGCATGGTATTCATTATTTTTAAAATAACACAATACGACTATCTAACACGATTTAAGATAATATCTACAAACTAAGTTATTTATGAACATTTAAAATAATATAATCTCAATCGGGTAATGGCTCTGGCTGTAAGTGCCCATTTAGCCAAAGGCCCAGTCGGCGATCGCCGACTCGCCGACCTGGCCAGGCCGCCACTGGTTTAATGTAAACTTCAATGAATTTAAGTGGGCCTATTTAATTATAAAATTAGGTAAGTGTAAAAACGATTATATATTATAGTTTAGATACGATATGTTACAATGATTAGGTTTTAATGTATTTTTATAATAAAAAGAGTGTAACCAGAATATCCTGTGCAATATAATATATATATCGATGTATTATATTATGATTCATTTAACGTAAGACAGTCACAATTTTTTTTTCATAATTTTATTTCATTAAAAAAAAAAACATTTTTTGAATAAAATATATTTTTAATTTTTTTTTAGTTATTATTTTTAATACCTTATTTAAAGTTATCATGAACGGAGTGGTACCTGTTACGCGTAACCCACAAAATGTTGGTAAACTAGCTATTTCACTCAAAAATACGTACTTAAATATGTATAAGTTATAAATATCAATCAATAAATTACTTGTCCGAAATCCTACTAATATTTTGATTCGAAACATGAAATTAAAAATGCATGTTGTCACTGAGAGTAGTAAAAWATATTTTATTTTTTTTTCAAAAATGTTTGMTTTTAATGACTATTCACATTTCGCGAAAGAAATATTTTCAATGACGTTCGTGTTTTCTGAAATAATGAGTGTCTTATGTTAAATGTAATATACACCCCGTATTAGGCGTATTAAATTATGTATTTTTAWGTTTATTAATCAAATTATGTTCGACATAATATAATGAGATCATATACTTATTATTACGAAATCGACTGCAGCGTCTATATAATAATAATGTTATTTCTTATTTGTCGCATGATTGTTATTGGCATTGTGATGTGATTTGATTCTTGTTGATTATTAATTATTGTTTATTAGTTTATATTTTAGTACCTACGTAATACACGATTACAATATTATCGAACAAAAAAATGCTGCAGGGGTTGTTGTCGATGCTGAAACGGTTGCGTTCGTCACCGGACAAGGAGCTTCGCATCCTGCTGCTGGGGCTGGACAATGCTGGGAAGACGACTCTGATGAAGAAACTCGCGTCAGAAGACGTATCGCACATAACGCCCACCCAGGGTTTCAACATAAAGTCTGTGCAGGCGGATGGCATGAAACTGAACGTGTGGGACATTGGCGGGCAGCGCAAGATAAGACCGTATTGGCGCAACTATTTCGAGTTCACTGACATACTTGTAAGTACCAATAATAAAAATAACACGTTTAGGTACTGTATCATCACGAGTTGGAAATCACTTAGGTGTAAGTATTGACGTGATGAGAGCTGTTTTTTGAAGTCCGCGTCTCAACTGAATTCGGTGGGTGGGTCCCGGCTGGCCAGAATTTCAAGACTGTAGGTATAGATCAGTGAGTTTGTTGTAATAAACTAATTAATAAGTACTTGATAACTTTTACAAATGCATTAAATTTAACTTAAGTATGRTACAAATGTACAATCAATACAAATGTAGTTTATAATATATTACTATAGGTAGATATTTTTAGTTATGACCCATAACAAAAATAATGACTAATGAGTTATATTAGTTATAACATTGATTTTATAATAGACTATTATAAAATCAATGGTTATAATATTATAATTCTAAGATCTATTCTATTAAACGGCCTTTATTATTATAGTAGGGCTCGGATTTCAATGCATTTGCATCTTTTTTTTGGGATATCTTACGCGATGCTTTCCAAGCTACAAATATGTTTSAAGTACTTCGCAATCTAACCACAATAATTTTTTGGGGCATTTTTTTGCTTTTTTTGAGTATTTTTTGACGTTTTTAATACATTTTTTAATTTTTTAGTACATTTTTGACCTATTTGTCGTATTATGACTAAAAAACTTGACCTCATTGAAATATAAGTACTACATATAGTACTACGTAATAAAAATTATTTTCATTTTGAACTATTTTAACTAATTTAACATCAGGTTTTCCGGTTTTTACAACCTTTATGTCACACCATCCAATTAGCCGATATTATTGCACACAACTAAACTTTTATCGGCTTATTTTCTTATCGAGCGATTATATTATATCGGTGATGTGCGTTTAATAAATAATGCATTTTTTGATATTTTTAGGGCATTTTTTAGAGTTTTTAGGTCATAAATGCATTTTTTTGATATTTTTAGGGCATTTAAATCCGAGCTCTAATTATTAGTATCTACTATTACATTTATATATTTAGTCCAAATTCGGCACATTTTAGCGAGCATAATAATTATGTTGATATTTGTATTATATTTAAGTTTTAGGTATGTAATTTTTAATTAATTAATTATACATAAAAAGTGATTCGAAATGTTATCATGTAATATAATACATTTCAATAAATATTTGTTTTGATTCGTGTTACAGATTTATGTAGTAGACAGCGCAGACAGAAAACGTGTAGACGAAACAGGATTCGAATTGAACGAACTGCTCAACGACGACAAACTACTCGGTGTTCCGGTGTTGGTATATGCCAACAAACAAGATTTGGCACTGGCGGCAAAAGCTTCAGAAATAGCCCAAGAACTAAACTTGCATCTAATTCGTGATCGGCCGTGGCAAATACAGGCATGTTCAGGTATACGCGGGGAAGGCATCAAAGTAAGTCATTGTGATGTATAGTATAGGTATAATTGTATTTTGGTGAGAAGGATGAGGTACCAAGAAGAGACGAATATWAAAATAAAAATTTAATAACACATAAARATCAAATATCTTAATTTCATGCCTGCATATATTATTAAAAAACTACCATTACTATAATAATATTAAAATAATTTAATTTTCAATAGAAATATTTCATCCAGGTTTTTATTTTGTACCTATAAGTCGGAAAAATGTCTTTAGCGAGATGTTAATGATAATGTTAAAGCAATTTTGAATGCCGAAAAAATGGATACTTAAAAAGATACCACAAATTTAAGAGGCTAATTTAAAATGTTGAGAGGCTAAGCCCCTTCCTGATGTGTGTCTACGATTATAGATTAAAATTGATAACAATATAATTACCTACAATATAATATTATAATCTGTTATTATATTATGTGGATATGATTATTATTTTTTTTAGGAAGGATTGGAATGGATCAGTCAAAATGTAAAAAAGAAGTAATGATGTTAATTTAATGAATATTTTGTTCATACTCATTACTATAGTTTGTTTTATAGGTACATGAAATAATTACTAATAATTAGTGTAATATTTTATTATCATAATATTTTTTTAAACATGTAAAATATATAAAAAATAATAATATAATATATAACTAAAATATGCGTTTTCACTTATATATTATATAATTATATATACTTATATATTCTTAATAATATATACTTTACGTCTATACAATATAATAAGTTAATTAAATTATATAATAATCTATTACTATGTATGCCTAGTGCCTATAACCTAAGACTCTTRTAACTGAATATGTTACTGATGAAAGACGAATGTTTTAAAATTAAAATTAAATAATTATTTAACTTCTCTGAAGTCAATAAATCTTGGTAAAACGTCAAAACAATATTAATTACTATAATTTGATTTATTTTAACATTTCACAAAGATGATGCATCGGTATAGGTAGGTAGGTACCTGCTTATGTATCGCAAAATAACTACGCAATGAGGTCGTCATATTATATGTATTTTGGTATATACGTGCATTTATTTTGTATAGCATTTTATGTCAGCTAGTTCGTTTTTAAAACACATTCAAAATTTAAACGAAAGAGTTTTGACTGTGTATAATAGAATGATTCATTAATCGTTTATCGACATAATTAGTATTCATTTTATCTCTTGGTAAAATATTGTTATGAATATTATGATTGTCACTAACAATGAGTGTATCACTATATTAAATCGAAAACAATTTTGATTTAGTAACTACCTACCTATTATATTTATATCGTTGTGCTGTAGAAAAACATCAAAAAACAACTGTACCTACCTACACAAATAATTTAAGCATATATTGTAGAAAACTAATTACAATATTAAGTAGGTATTCTTTTTTTGAAACTTTATAAATTGATGTACCAATATACACTTAATCTATAATATATTATATGTTTTAGCTTTTTTGTCATTAGGACGGTGTATTATCAACAAACGTGCTTGCATCTAGTCCGATAGACATAATTATTTTATGAAACTGTATTATGAATGTATCATTTGAATCCATCTACACTTCCATAAGGTCCCCTATTAAAATATCTCGGGATGGTAAAATACCTATATAAAGTGAATAATTGCAGTTTTGTTCGRCGAAAAAACCTTATCTACCTATCAGTAAATTGTATGCTAAAAATAATTTAGTAAATGTAAACATATTACATACATATATATATATAAAAAGATTATAAAACAAAATTAAGGTAGTATATCAATGGTGGCTTAAACTAGGTTTAAATACCCGAGTACCTAGTGTACACCCCGTTTAGAGTTAAAATACATATTATATGAATTATAAAATGTTCAAAAACCGAAATTGATGAAACAGCCTTTGAAAATATGCATATTATGTATATCCGCAATTATTGATAGTTTTTTGTTGTTGTTTATTTTTACACTCTTAGAGTTCGTTGTGGAAATATTCAGTCGTGGCTTTCAAATCTTCTTCGTGGAATTCTTGGCAATTTGCCGAATATTTTGTCTAAACAATACATGAAATTATTAATCTTGGCGTTGGCGTTGGCGATGAAAACAAAAATCGTAATTTTATTGATAACAAAAAAAAACAACTTACCGAACAGTTGTGGTCTTCGGTTGCAGCGTTGTAAAGTTTCCAGAACGGCGTTCCCGTCTTTCCGGACAGGAACCACGAAGCGATTAAACTGTGGAACAAAATATAAGTCATAATCATAAACTAGCAATTTTGTAGTTATTAATTAATTTATGTTGATTATATTAATATCCCAGACAGAAAATGGAACAATGATAATAAATATTTTAAACTACATTTTAAAAATACTTTCTGTTTCAAATGCTGTCTGAAATTATACATTTTGTAACCTATAAATGAATCGTAAATTATGATATTATATTCAAAAACAGCCATAGTTAATTGTATATGTATCATATTTGATATGAGTTAACACTACATTGAATTAAACATCATATACTCGTACTTATATAAGTTATAACGTATTATATATTTGCTTAATAGRCTGGGGAGAACCCGTTTGGGCGCAGTATAGTACATAATTTACCTGAAAATTGTTAACACGTTTGGGCGCATATAATGAAAACACTTTTGGGCACAATAGGTATTAACGGGTGGTGCAGCTTATGCCTCATCTGCRGAAACTTGAAAACTATTTTTTTATTCAAGTATGTTATTGCCTTATTGGCATGGTGGCAAAAATAGTAGTGAATACTAAATAGTGATAAATTGTAAAATAGGAATGCATAATCGAAAGTATATTAAAAATTAATCTAATYTAATAAGTACTTAATCGTTTGATTTGTAGACCAAAATATTATTGAAAAATACCACACCAAATAAAGCTATAGATATTTATCTACTAGTACAGATACCGAGGATGCCGTTTTTTTATTTTTGGAAGACTATTGAGCCAACCTCCTCGCGGTGTCTTCTGGGTAACGCTAATAGGCTCAGATCTAGTAAAATATGTTAATATATGAAAAGAAATAAATGCGCCCAAACGTACTTTTATAAAGGGAAATATTACGCCCAAACGTGTTATGGATTTACGCCTTAAAGTGTTCTGTTTTGAGTAAATGCACCCAAACGTATTTCCCCCAAAGGCTTATAGCCCAAATGGGTATCAAAAATAATACCTACCAAGGTACTTTGTCCATAGTTTATATTAACACTGTGTTTATGATCAATAATAATATATATAGTAGGTATAGTATATTAATACGAATAATATGTACGCAATTTGTTGCAGTATTCCTAACATATTTTTTAATTGTGATACGGGTGTAAAAATTATTTTTAATATTATGGTTAAATGTTTAATAACTCGAAAATAATATATTTATGGACTGTTTTATACGTTAACTATACGTGTTAAAAATATATATTTAGGTTAACCAACACATACCTGGACAGTTTTGTAACACCTGGTTTGAGTCCTGTTTTGCTGTCTGGATATTGGCCTTTGCGGTTGATGCTGCACACCAAGTAACGATCACATTCTGGTTTTTTGCCCACGAATCTGTACACTCTCCACACCCTGAGTATCGGGTCAATTAGCTCGTGATTCAACAGCTCTGATAGCTTCTCCTCAATTTCCTTGGAAGTTAAATGCTGCAAGCTCAATCCTTTGCTTTGGCCCAACCTAAACACATCCTACACGAACAAGCAAACATACACGTAAAGATACGTACTTATAATGACATCTCATAACGCCTGTCTGATTTMATACGACTAAAACGTATTGTACGTACTTGTAAATATGCTATCGCTGGTTTAATGTACGTAGCAGAATTGACTTTGAGTCCAAACTGTCGTTTAAACACCGCGTCGGCCAGGAAGCTCAGTGATTCTGCTGGCCGTGCTGAGTCAAACTGTGCTGCCTTAGAATAACCTTGAGACTTTAAGAATCCATTCATGATGAACTGTGTCGTCGACAAATATCTGTAAAACATGAGATTATATAGTTATTAGTTATACCTATATGAGTACTCTAACAAATAACTTRAACCACCTAATGCAGTTTTAAATAAAAACCATGTTTTGTTCATGTATATATAATATATTATATATAATTATATACATTTATCATTTTCTGATTTTATATTGTAAAATGTATTGTATGAAGTTAGGTGGGCTTAGGTAGGTAGACGCTATAAAATATTATCATCATCATATCGTCGTGTGGATCTGGACTGACGCCATTAATAAAAGGTAGGTATAGCTTCTATCTATATTTATGTCTGGAGACATCGTCACCGGCACACACATAACAAAATTGATTTTTGGTAGTGAATCCAAGATGCTAATCTTATTTTATTTACACTTAAGTATTAAAGTTACGCACGCATATTGACTAATTAAAATAAATATCGAGAAAAATATTTACTGCCACCGAGTATCATATATTAATATTTTATTCATAAAATATAGAACATTGTTGGTAAATGCATAATTAGTCACCTAAAATTAAATTAAATTTCCTATATTTCAGTTTCATGAACCAATATAATTATATTATGTGTAACGTATAGCGAGGTAAATATGCTTTCATCAAGTGAAAATAAAATTGGCCCAGAAAAAAGCTACGCTCTACTGCAGGCGACTTTAACATTTCTCCTGCAGAGCGTCGCATTTGTCAGCTAACTCAGCTAACTGTTAATAATATCGGGAAACGCAATCAATTCGAATCTATAATAACATAATAATGTTGCATTATATATCAMAATTTACAGCTATGCTTCACCTTGAAAAAAAAATCATACGTAGGGACATTGACATATATTATAGTGTCTACATGGGCGTATTTTACAATAAATTCCACAGCGTTATATTATTATTATTTTAAAACTACGTATTATAACACGATACTATAATATAATGTAATATAGGTCCAACGAAACGAGGAGGTGCAGCTTGTATGTTAGTAAAAAAAAAATAATAAAAAAAAATAAATAAACAAGCAGTTAGTTGTTATGGTTGTGTATATAATARTATGTAGAAGCATGTTCAGATGTACTGAAGTAAGTGGACATGTTGTTRATATTTATATTTTCTATATATAGGTATGAGATAATTTATGTTATTATTAAATTGTTTGGCCGCGACGTGAACATTAGATTATTTTTGGTCTCCATAAGTGTTCAATGAACTGTAATGCAGAATATAATATATTGTAGGTATATAATATATATTTTATATTCATGCACATTGCACGTAGACACTGCAGAAATCTCGCACGCATTCATAATTAAAACGGTGCGTTATAGAGTATAACTTAATTATTGCCCGGCTTAAACATTCGATAATTCAAAAAATCGTACTTAGATTGAATCGGAACGAGTAGGCATATTTGAAGCGAGTTGCAGTAGGTACTTAAATGTTTCAATCCATGGCATCATAGTATAATCAATGTTACGTTAAAATAATATGTTCCTATTATTCTGGAGGGTAGTGGCGTATATAGAAATAATTTTCGGGGTGGGCAACAATATTAGGTATAAAGCAACTAACAAATGATCTAGCATCTAGAGGTTTCTATATAATTAACAGTTAAAACTGTAATTTCTGGGGGGGGGGCTACAATTCACTAGTTAGGTGAACCCCATTATACATATACGCCACTGCTGGATGGGCGGATATCAGTGACCGAGGTAAGATATTAGCAATTATTATTTATTCACATGAATAAAATGGGCGGTATGTTTGAATCCCGGTAATACAGTTTTTAAGATAATTTTTTATTACACATCTGCGATTAAAATTAAAATTCAACGGTTCATTATAGCAACAATAGTTAAACATAAAAAGTTCAAATAATTGCTAGCGAAAATATCAATGCATAGAATGGTATATGGTATAAATTATAAGCATTACTACACATTTTGCATAATATATTGTTTTTCTGTTAAATGTTACTTGTGATGCAACAATGAAAATATATTATTGTAGGTACTACGAAAATATTATTTTTAAAACCATTTCCCGTATGACCTTGACCCAAGAATACTAAGTATTTTGCGTTGGTTAAGATCAGAACAACTGTTTATTTTAYACGGATAACTGTAAACTTTCTACGAGCGGTTAACACACGCACCTATACCATATATTTGGAATAACATTGCGCAGTATTAATAAAATACAGTGTACAATATATATCAATGTTAAGGTCGTATACTAAACGATGAAGTTTTAGTGTTACATATTTTATTTTAAGAATGTAATTAAGTTGATTTTTATAAMATCTTTGAATGTAAATTTCATATTGATATTTGATAATGTGGTTTGTGAACTTGGATATTATAGTACAATAATGAGTAATGACTGACAAATAACTTACATTACATACTATTGTGTACTTACGATGTACTCACCTAAATAATTATGAGTAGGYATAAGATAATAAGATAGCACGAGAAACACTGAAGTGTACAATTTAGAAAATATGTAAGAAACATTACCATCCGACGTTACAGTAAAATTTCTTAGAATAGTCCATTACCTCTTATAGATGTACAATTTAAATTGCCAATATTTTAAGGATGTTATATAATTCCGTTTACATAATTAAATTCTACGCTATATTAATAATATAYAAAGTATATTAATATATGTACTGGAACCGGCTACACGTGTAGTATAACGTACGWTATACCGTAAAACGATTTTTTTTTGTAAATAATTGTATATTATGTACCGCTGTAGTTGTATATTATTATTATAGATATAGCAGTGGGCAACGAACTCTACGAGCAAAACCAGTTACGTTCATTTGAAACAAGGCGTGTTCGTCGAGTTACGATGATATTATTATTATATACCCACGCTATGAGTTATTATATCTATATTTAAATGCATGTGCACAATTCCACAATGTACATACAAGTAGTTGGCCACGTGTACCGGGTATGAGGTTATTACCTGGCCTGTGTGTTCGGGTCTGATACGTGTTTCATCCATTCGGCGACGAAGCTGGTCAGACTTCTGACCCACCGCCGTCTGAACGTGGAGTTTTCCATGGACTCGAATATCTTGTCTACTTGGAAATGACCGTCCTTGTCGATGAACAGCTTCAGGATGCTGCCCAGGCCGCTGTTYTTCCACAGGGTCATGCCCAGCTCACTGTTTTTGAAATGTTCCCAGTACACGTACGCGCTGCTCAGAAACGGCGGCAAGAAGGTCGAAGCTCTGGCATGTCGCTCGTGCTCTTCAAAATCCTCAACTTCTGGATCATCGGAATGTTTGTGACCGCCACTGAAAGCGTTCACCAACACCGGAAGTACGTTCATGAAACCCTCGATGGACGAACCCTGGAGGCCGCCCGCGCCCGCCGTCGATGACATGAAACCTAAAAAAATAACCAGCAAAAAAATGTTTTTTTTTTATTTCATTCCAAATATTTAGGAATTTTAAATATTATTATCATGCACATTTATTGGTACCTATCCCCCAGCTTCAAGAAAATGCGCACGCGGAACCGTCAGAATATTGACATTATATATAACATTGTGCGTATATTACAAAGTTAAGTATCAAGTAAAAATTATTGGATTTAAATTTTTTTATTCATATTTTTCAAAACAAAATTACGTCGGTGTATAATATATTTTGATGATAGCCGCGAGAATTCAATACTCACATTCTATATCTATAATATACCTACCGATTATAATAGTCATGATTTGATATGATATAGTAAAAAAAATGTTATGATATGATTTAGTTTCTTTTGTTAATGATTTGAGTATGAAATCTTTTATAACTATTTTCAAAAAATAAAGGTACTTAATTCAATACATGGAATTGGAGAATAATACACCATCATACATATTAATAATATAATTACAAACCAATCGTAACTGATAAAAAAAAAATTACATTTAATAAACCGGATTAATATCGAGTTTTTGTTTTATTTTATAATAAGTAATAAGACTAAAATGATCGATAAAGTTCGTAAAAAATAAGATTAAACAAGCTGTTGCGTAGTTCCAAACAGGTTATTATATTATATCGATACGGTTAATTTACCGTTGAACCGTCCGACTAATGCGGAATTTTTTGCACGTAAACTATGGGTCGTGTGTTCATGTATATAGTTGTACAGCTTGCCAACTACGGTGGAATATAAATGCGTGGCCCCAACAACCGTTGGGACTAAACACCACATTGGTAAAATAGAAATAACGACATTATTCGCACACTTAAATACATCAAGTATAATTATATAGAATAATATTATATCATTCATCATAGAATCAATCATGAACTTTCTAGAAATGAGAAAAATATTATCAGTGGAACAAAATCATCTTTGCGGTTTTATGACCAGTACCGCTTGACGATACGGTATTATAGTCATCAATAGATACCTACTGTATGAGGGATCGGGCACCATTGAGTGATAAATAGGCCAATTAAAAAAAAAAAAGAGCCGCAAAGGTGAAGATAAAAAACTATGGCTGAACAATAATATCGTATTGGGCAGTTAATAAAGTCGATAAGTAGAGCTACAGACCTACAGTGATTGTCTCAATCGCATTAACATTAAATTGTATCTAGGTTTATAATATGATCGTAATTAACATCTTATGTTGGTAGTTATATATACTTTAATAATTTAGTGACGTTTTTGTTGTAGATTGAATGAATGTTTTCCCGAAAATGTCCATTAGACAATAGTATTCGATTTATAAAATGGACAGTCAATGGTAAATTATTTAAAAAACAATAGGTAGTTTGTTACCACAAAGTTTTTTAGTTTGTAAAGCAATACGTTGTAATGTTGTATACGAAAAATGATATAAAATAACATAGTTGATAAAAAACCAAAACTATTTTTTTTTACATTTATAGATATTAATGGCAGAAATAATGGTGAATTAAGCATTGTTCAAATTATAGTAGTATATAGTATATTTTCATTTGAAGCATTTCAACTTTCACACATCATGAAATTTACTGGTAGCTAAATGTATCCAAAGAAACAGCATGCGATTTAAAAAATGTATACAGCTATGTTCCAGAACAAGTATTTTTAAAAAACGAAAACTATTTGGAAAAATTGCTAAATGATATACATTTCTGAGTTGGTTAAGAAGTTTTTGAAAAAATAGTAAAGGAAAACTTCGATTTGACATTTTGACCGTGTTTAAACTTCTCGAGCATCCATAGAATAATGCTAAGATGCCAAACAATTTATATTATTATTGAAAACAAATTCAAGAAGTTCATTCTATGCAGTAGARGGGGCACCCTCTGAATCAATGTTGTATAAAAAAAAAACGAATCTCTTCTGCCACCACTATTATAGTTCATGTTAGAATATACTATACGTTACACAAAATTATTGGCACTAATCATATATTAACAACCTACAAGTACTTAAATAATTTTGGATTAGTAAAAAAAAATGCAAGTGTTAATACGTAATGAGGTGAAATACTATCTAATTTAATGTGCATAACAAATGAGAAGAAACACCAGAGCGATCATCTACCGAAAGCTTTAAAATAAGTAACTATGTTTATATAATGTTCATTTTATTTTATTTTATTTACAAATCAGTGATTATTATAAGACCCATCGCAAGTTGCATAATATTTATTATAATCATAAAGTTAAAACCATAAAATATTAAAGAATAATATACTCGTATAATTGTATAAAATGTATCGGCTAAAATATAGCCCTCCACTTTATATTATAACATCTAACTCTTCGTGTAAGTTGCAATATCATTTTAAAGTTCAAAACGAGATGGAGGGCTATATTTTGCGACTTACACGAAGAATTAGATGTTATAATATAAAGTATTGTACATTTGTTTGTACCTATATCATAATAATATTTGTAATTGATTAACGTGTAGGTACTAGGTTTTTTAGTTTTTTTCAATAAGTGATATAAAAACGTCTATTCATACGTTAATCAATTATAAATATTATTATAATATAGGTACGAACAAATGTACAATACATTATATTATAACGTCTATCTCTATAAACTATCGGTTAACGCTGTTATAGAATGTGTGTCAAGTGTTCTAAAAATAACCGAGTAACCTAGTTGAAAAAAAATCTAAATGTAGTGTTAAAATAATAGCATAAATCACGGTTCCACGGTTCGTTGACATCTGCAGACTGCAGTCAGACCAAAAAATTATACGGAATACCAGACGATTAACTCAAGAATAGCTGCTTTTAGGTGTACTATTCAYAGTTATAATTCATAGTGCCTCAGAGTATATTATCATTGTATCGTTTGGCATATTATACTCGACACAGTCTTAACTCCTAAGCATATAAAACAATTCTGAAGTTTCATTAACAAAATACTTTATATTTTCTCCACTGTATAGAAAAACAATGAACCACATATATTATGTTTTATAGTTTTATTTATTAAGATAAATTCTAATGTAGCAATGCAAGTACTATTTATAGAGCAAACAAAATTTGAACGATAAGTAAAATTAAATTATGTAATTAAAAAAATAAAAATGTATTAACGAAGTGGCTTTGATAACGTAGTTATATTATCGGTTGCTCGATGTGAAATCAGTAAAATAGTAGGCAGTTTACCTATAGTCGTTATTGGTTAACTCGTCGAGATTTCAAATAATTCAAGTATTAAACACATTAATTCTAATAATTTATTGATTTTTTACCGTGCGTTTCAATTGTACTGGTGAAATTGATCGTTTTAGTATTTTTGTGACTCACCTGTCACCACAAAGATTATACCTTTACGGTTATACACATACATTATGCGGAGTATATACATATCGTGTTATAAACGATTATTAATATAATTCATTGTAACTATACAACTGTTATATTATTATGTCAAGTCCGGTTTACAATTATTTTAAGCGATCTATTTGACAACTTGTATAGGTACGTCATATTGTTATTTCCGTTGCATTATAARTAAGAGGTCRCCGTTCTCAATACGGGTGCTCATAATAAATTCACGTGATGAATGATCAAGAAATGCCTGCAGCAGTCGCCATCACCATTATAGTTAACAAARTTTCAATCCTTTGGGCTAACATTTTGAAACGTGACGTGAAAATATAAAACCATGTATGAACTCAAGAATTGTCGACCAATGACTAAATACACGATTAAAAATGATATAATGCAGTAAAAGAGTGTGCTTATCTTTATTACTATTAAGTCACGATAAGAGCGCATATACGTCAAGATAGCCGTAGAGCATTGTGGATATCAAACTTTATTAACACTTATAATATTTTATGATAAAATAGGTATTCGTTTATTTTTTATCATTAATCACGCGAAGTTTACCAGTTTACAAAAGTAATACACCATTATAGATTGCGCAAATAAGCGAACTTGATCATTAAATGCGTATAAATTACAAGGTGTTTTAAGATAATCACAGATGAACCAAATTGGTGGAGCTTGATTCACAGTTGTTTCTTTAAGTATTTCTTCTTATATTTATGTATAATGTTTATAAAATTATAACTGACTGATCTTATCCGTGACAAATTAAATATTATTAATGGATTTGCCCTGTTTTAAACTCCGTTAAATGTAAACTAAACAAATTATGTTTACCATTTGACCGAATACAAGTTACAGGTCTAAAATTGTATACAGTCATAATAACTGTAATTTTATTTCATGTATGTAACCAAAGGCAACCTTAAACAAACAAAAAAAATATTTGTTTTTCGTGAGCCAATAAATCCCCATGTAAAAAGTCTCTCTTTAAAATTAAAAAAATTGGCTCTGAGGTGCACTTTTCAGAACCAAAAGTGCGACACACACATGTTGCTTCTTATTAATACCTAATACAGATAATACAATTTATATAGTCATCATATCAGTTTAAATAAAATACAAAAAAAAAAATTAATTATTACTGAATAAAAAAAAGTTGTTAGTTGCTCAGTATCGGTCAAGTTTAAAATTCACCACTACAGACGTATGTATTTATACTTGAGACGATTGTGTGTAGGTTGATACGTAGGTTGGGAATATAATAATATAGTAATAGTGCAATGAGAAATTATGTGGTCGCCGTATTGCAACGCATAATATACAATGTTACACTAATACCATTGAGTTTATACTCAATGCTTAYACCTATACACCAGAGACGGACTTACCGGAAGCCAAGTCGATCATTGAGCTCCAATCCACGCCGGGCCCGTTATCGTTGCCGGACGATGACTTGTCCGCAGCTGAACCACCGGCGAACATGCCGACGAGCTGTCCGATCACCTGTGGGTCGACGGAACCCTTRGCGGCCGCCAGACCGGATACGATTGATCCCAGCCCAGACTTGGCGCCCTCCGTCTGCATGAAGGACTGGAGCACGGATCCCAATCCGGCCCCGCCGCCCTGTCCGCTGGCCAGCGAGTCTTGCAGCAGCGACTTGGCCGCTTCCAAGAACGGGTTTTCTTCGCCATCGTCAACTCCGTTGCTGTCCACCGAAGACGTGACCGAGGGCCCGACCAGCAGCAGGACCAGTAACAGCGCGGCGTTGAACGGTAACCGGATCATGACGATGGATGAAAATCGTACGCGATGAAGGATTGGAAAATGAAATGCAATACACTGCTTGACGGAATAATATTACGAATGCAAAATGGTGGTAATTCTATATAGACTTGTAAAGAACCGTTTTCACATAGTCGGCACGGAGGACATCTATGRCGAGCTAAGCGATGCGGAAGACTGTGACGATGCGATGTGACCGAATGGCTGACGGACGAGTCCATCGGTGCCGGAACCAAATATTCAGCCCCCCTCCCACTTCCATCCCCAACGCCACCGATGACTGCAGTGGTTACCACCKCGGTAATGGTGACCGTCTGCGAAAAAAGAGAGGGGCGTATAGCGGTAAATCCGACCACGCGCGGTTACGGCTGCGGAACGCGTTTAAACCAGTTATGGTAGGGCCATTGACATACCGCCGAACTACAACAACAGACCGGGTTACTGGTTAACTATTATTATTATATTTTTTTTATGTTCGGCTCGTCATCTTCGTAGAAATGTGACGACCACGTAGGTACGTTGTTATATATTATATATTAATACTGTATTATTATGTTTTTCGTCCGAAATACCTTTTCATCGGAATTCGGTCAATTATTATTATACCATTATTACAATCACTTAATTACGTCTAAAGTGTTTAATTTATTCGTATTCAGCTACAGTCTACATTGCATTATCATAATGTTAGCACATTTGAATGCAAATGACAAGTGTCATAAGGGATTCCTYGAATCCAATAATAGTATACCTAGTTATTACTTACAATCCGAAACTTAATATTTTTATCATATAATAGCTACTGTTGGCATGGATCATTTTATTCATTTTCATTTATACTAGTTTTAATTTTGCAAATACATAATTATAATAACATGTTATGTAATAATAATTTTTATTATAATACGCCACAGGGAAATTCTTTTACGCTTTTACAGACATTTATAAGTTTTTATCTGTCGACTGTCATCCTTATAATATTAATAAATAATAATATGTTTGTCGATCGATCGACCAATAATTTGTATATTATGTATACATTTCATTTCAGTTGGAAACGAAACGCTTTTCTAAAACCTATAATGTATGCCATCGGGAAATTAGTCATAAGATTTTTTAAGGCGAGTCGACTAAAAGTTAAACTCTCGAGAGTGATTCACTTGTATGTTTGTATTTTTACATGGTAAATCGAAATTGTTGGATTGGATGTTAAATAGTTTTTTGTATTTGATTACTAAAAAAAAAAAAAATTATAATTGAAACAAAATAAATAATTAAATTCGAAAATATTACTCATAAATCGTATWTGTGAGTGCGTTTGGATGTCGGATGATGTGATAATGTCAAGGTCGTTCGTTGCCGTCTCTGAATGACCTTCTCGTTCTTATATTATACGTACCACATTACCACACGTAATATACGCACGCAGGCATGTATCTCAGACGATCGAAAGATACCCTGCACAAATGATATCGTAATGGGAAACTACAATAATATAATAAATCATTATGAATTTTGATACTAATTACTTWCTACCGAAAAACTTTCAATCAATAAAATTCATGTAAATAATTAGATTGACATGGAATATTGTACGTATCGTGAAATGAATTATATTCGCGTTTCGAGAATATTATAAGAATTGAAATATATACCAGTATACAACAGTCTGTTATACTGCAGCTGTCTTGTCCACACAATGTAAGGTGTACATTATAATTTATTTGCTACGTTTTAGTAATTGGTAATTATTTTTATGTAAAAAATCGTTAAAAACTTTGATTTTTTATTCTTTAAATGAGCGTGATKTAAAWAAACCTATTCAAACCAATATGGCCATATACGGTCTGCAATTATGGGGTAATGTGAAAAAATCAAATATTAATAAAATTCAAGCATTTCAAAACATTGCTCTGAAGAAACTCACGGATGCCCGGGTGCACCTTTCTACGTCTCAAATTTTACTCTACATTCAGACCGGAAACTAAAAATAGTAAGTGATGGATCTAAATGTTTCTATAAAAGATTCCATAACCACCTAAGTACTTATTAGAATTTACTTATTGTAACCAACTTGAAAATGAAATACAATGTCCCTGATATATTGTTACCATAGCAGTTAAAAAATATTAAAAATACATATGCACAAATTTTTATTTATATAAGTGTTTAAAGTTTGAATTTTCACTGCATTTATCAAGTTTAAAAATTTCAAATTATTTTGTAGATAAAAATGTATAAAATGTTCAACTTTTATAGCTAAGGATTCAAAATTTAAAACAATAATGTTCAAACATTAAAAGGTTATAATATTATATAAATTACATACTATCGCAATAAGATCATCAAATATACTTAATAATATCATAGGYTGAATTGATCAGAATCGTTTTTATTATACAATGATATATCATTGAATTCAAATTTAATTATTAAATAATATATTTATACCGATTCGCTGCATCTATTTTTGGCTTTACCTATAAATTATGTCATTTTCTTCTTCTAATTGGTACACTCAAATTATATGCGTATAAATACTTTAAAAAGTCAATTGTTACAACTTGCATAAAGTACATATAGGTACTTTGCATACAGACATCATGCTCCAGGTTTAAATTATTTAGTATGGAACTCACAAATAAAATTATTTTACAATATTTAAAATATCATATTTAACGTTTATGATTATTTTGTTTCGTATTGTGTAAATACAATATGTTTAACACTCTTATCTGTTTATTGTAAAATCATTGATATATCTGTATGACTGTATCTATTTTCAGCCATTGCTCATATTCAATCAAACATACAATAATACAATATACATATTATATTGTTTTTTTACATCATTATTTTAATTTTAATCGTTGTCAAAGTGTCATTTTATCATAATATTCATAATTTGTGCTTTGTRCTTCAATGAATGCTATGCAGTGAAATTATTGCAATTACACCACATATTTTCTTTAGTGGTAGACTCACTGGTACTGTACATATAATATGTCTCCAAAAAAGATAAGTTAAATATCATCAATTTTTAAAAACGATATATTTATTCATAGGCCCTAACTTTTAGATATTAGTGCGGTGGTAAACTGCTTTGTTAAGCAAAAAATTCTGTAGAATTCTTCAATTTGCTGAACGGGAGGGGACCATTAACTGATTGCCCCATAACCCCCTTTCATTATTAAACCGTAATCATTTTACCATTTTAGTAGACAGTTCCGAATCATAGGCGCAAATTGGGGGGGGCTTAGCTCTCCGAACTAAGCCCCCCCCCAATCTACAAATGTAATATGCTATATTATATTAGTGTACTTTACGACCCACGGGTCTGCTTGCCTTTAATATATTCAGCCCAGTCAAAAGTTGAAATTGCACCTATGTAAAGAAATACTTCAAGATGTTTTATACAAATATGGTAATACACTTTTTAATTTTTATTGGTAGTAGATTAAATTTCAAAAGTCCATCATGGAATGAATCATTCCGAATGATATCGAAAAAGAAATGGGATATRTTATGAAATCAAAAAGCATTTATTTAGCTGCTTGTCAGGACCGCTTCAACTTGTTGACTAATCTAAGAATCAGATTAGGTATTAAAGTACCTGCTGAGATTCATAATAATACTCGTAGGTTAGTTTCTAGTTGTACTGAAGAGTCTGAAGATGAAGGAAATGAATTTGGTTTTGGATGATGATAAGAGCCTTAAAATTTTTTTTTTTTTTGATATTCTAAATGATGTGTATCAAAAAATGAAACCGATCGAATTTGAATATGGCAATGGAAAAAATAAAAGTATTGAAACCAGGCGTTTGGTCTAATATAATATTTGATAAATTTATAAAAATTCACAAGTTGCCATGATGTTACATATTTAAAAGGTGTAAAGTTTATATCACTGAATCTGCTAAACATTTTTTAGTTTTTAACGCAACATTTAAAAATGATAAATGTTATGTC